CCCAACCTTCCTTCTGAGGAGTGGCTGGTGGGTTTGAACTGCCAGCCTTCTGGTGAGCAGTCAAGTGCCTTAGGCACTATGCTACCAGAGCTCCTCATTTGTAAAATAGGGATATATAATAATACCTATGTCAGGGTTCAGCATTGAAGGAGATAATGTGTGCTTTTTTTGTTTTGTTTTGGTTTAATGTGTATAATGCCCTTAGCTGAGCACACAGGAAGTGGCCTTCATATATTAGCCAAAAGAGAGCTTAGTTTGTCTAAAGAAAGGGGTTCTGGCAGCTGAGAGGATGAAGCAGTGCCAACAACTGGCAATCTAGGCAATGCAGCTAGTAGTGATCATTACTACGAGTGCAGCTAGTAGTTCTATGATCTTTCTCTTTAGAATTGGTTCACTTGCTAGAAGAGTGTCTTTTATCCATTTTAAAAAGCTGTCTCTTTTGCTTATAAAAAGAGAGGGTAGCCAATGAGAAAAAGCTGAAGTAGGAGATAAAATAAGCTAATGAAAGAACACAAGAGACCCACTAGAAACTTTTGCTTCTGAAATGGACTGTTACCTCCTCTCTCTATTTTTCAGAGTACTTCTAATTGATTCTGTTAGGCACAGAACCTCTCTTTTTGCAATGCCTCTACAAAAATTAGAACAAAAGTTAACTGTTATTTTGAGACATATGTACCAATATGGAAGAAGGTTACACATTTATTTTAGTAAACCTTTGTTCTTTAAAGACTCGACAAGTTACTGTAAACATGTTTTATAAATACTGCAAATATGACTCTGATTATTTCTTTTGGACAATTGTATTTGAATTGGTAAATGTATTTGTTCAGATACCCACTCGGGTAACTTTGTAAGTAGTCTGAAGATTGTGCTGTATCAGCTTTTTTTGCTCCATAAATTTTGCAGTGATCTTTAGCCAAAAGCTGTAAAACCTGATCTAATCCCAAAATCATACCATGAACTGTTTGTAATCTTTTCTTTTTAACTAATATGTTAAGAAAAGTTATTTTGTGTAAGATTACAGAATTCCATGAAAGAACAATGTTAAGAATTTACAAAATAATCAAAATAACAAAAACAAAACAATTGTTTTCTTGAGCACAATCCCACATTACCAGATTCTCCTAAATGGAATGATGCTTTACTTGATCTATTAAAGCCTCAATCTAAAGTTTAAAACATAATGCTTATGTTTTTGTTTTCAAAATAGTCTTCTATAAACTATCAGATTTCTTATTTGATCTGTTAAGAAATGTAAATGAATGTTAAACATTTAAGTGGTCGAGTATGTCTTTAAAAATCTGTTTCTATATATTATGAAAATATTATTTACACAAAGTTCTCCTTTTGAGAATTTAGGATTCTCTTCTTTATGATTAAATATACAATTTTTTAAAAAAATTGTGATTTGGGTGAAACTTTACAGAGCTAATTTCACTTTCCATACAGTTCACATACACTGTGTCTCATGACATTGACTACAATTTCCCACAATGCAATAGCTCCCCTCCCACTTCCTTCCTATAGTTAACTCTTCCCTGTGTCCTTCCCTCCCTGCACTCCTGCACCCTGAACTATCTCCCTATGCATACGCAGCCCTTCTACTCTCCCACAATTGTTCTCTCCAAGGAATGTATCTACCTAGTGTAAATGTTCACCTCATATGCCTGTCATTTGTTTGGCTTGAAGCCACAGGAACGGGTTCAATTCCAGATCTGAAGGGCAGCTAGGGGCCATAGTCTCAGGGGTTCCATCAGGCTCTAGCAGACCAGCAAACCTGGTCCCCATTTTTTCCCAAATGATTCTGAGTTTTGTTCTACATTGTTCTCCTACTCTATCCAGGATCTCCTACATAGATCCCCCTCCGAGTGGTTGACGGTGGTAGCTGGGCACCATCTAGTTCTTCAGGTCCATAGTCATATAGGCTGAGGATCGCATGGTGTACCAGTCGCTTGGACTAATTGTTCCCATAAATCCTTACTTTTCTCCATTCTTCTTTGCTCTGGATGAGAGACCCATCATTGCATCTAGATGGCTGCTTGTAAGCTTTTAGATCCCAGTTACTACTTGCCAAAGTAGGATGTGGAACAATGTTTTGTGTAGAATGCTATGCCAATTGAGTTTCATAACCCCTGCAACTATGGTCCTGAGCCCACAAGTCCAACTACTTGCTCCCTCTAGGTAGCTAGCTGTGGCCAAGAAATGACTACAACCTTATCCCTTGTCAGCTCTACTATATACCTGGGAATTCTTATACATCATAGCAATACACTTGTAGAAATATTGTCTGCCACCCCTATACATGGTCTTGGGCACACTTCCCCCTGCATAGACATAGCTAATAGGTCAGCCTGTCCATCCACCTATCCACCCTTATATCCATGTTTGCCTTCACTGACAGTGCAGTACTGTATGTGTTGTCTGCATCTTCCATGTTCCTGTCTTCCTCTTCCTCAATGCCACTGTGTTTTCATTCTCATTTGATTCAAGGAATTTTCGAATTTCAATTTTTATTTCTTCTCTTACCCAGTCTTTCTCAAGGAGGGTGTTGT